GTGCACGGTATTCTGTTAAGGAGCCCAAGCAGCGTAAATATATGGTAATTCCATGTTTAATTTATTGAGGAACCACTGAACTATTTTCCACAGTGGCTGCACCATTTTCCATCCCCACCTCAGTGTCTGAGGGCTCTGTTTGCTCTTCGCCCTCACCAACACGGGACTTTTTCTTAAGCACAGAGGGCGTTTTATAATAAAAACCTTTCCTTCTAAAGGAATATTTCTTGAAAACCCTCTGTAATAAAACAGATTAAAGAGAAAATGCTCAGGTGAAGGTGACAGGATTTCCAAGGAACCCCCTAGGGTTCTAAGAAACTCCGTTTGAAAACCACCTGCCCTAAATGGGTTTGTTAGACCTTGCCTGGCTTGGACTCCCAAGATCCCTTTCCAAGGGACCTGGAGGTTGGGCTAGAAGAGGCCTCCCCTCTCCATTCCACGTTTGCAGGGAAGGCCGGGGTCGCAGTGCTCTTCAGGGTATGTGCTGCCCACCTACAGAAGAGCCATCTGGTTCTTGTTAAAATGGAAATCCTGGTATCCAGCCCCAGACTTAGAGAATGGGAATCTTTTGTGCAGAGACCCTGAAACATGTATGTTTTAAATACTTTCCAGGCAATTTTGATGGCCCCACATTTGAGAACCACTGAACTGGGAGGGGCTGACAGGAGAGGGTGGAGAATAAATGCCTACAGTTGGTGAGGCCAAAGAGCCACCGTCTTGCTGAACTGTTGTCAGCTTCCTCCTCTGCTCTTTAAGAGGGAAGGAGGAGTCAGATTTTGCTTTGGGACCCAAGTGCCAACTGGGGTCACCCTAAGGTTAGATTGGCACTACCTCCTGGCCATGGGACTCTGAACTTCCAAAAGATAAGGACACTTTTATGACCCTTGGGAAATGTGCACGGTGTTTAAGCATTTCCTAGTACTGTTATTTTTCTTAAATGGTGATTACTGTTATGAAATTTGAAAGTATAGCAAATCAGTCATGAAGCAAGGACTGTTTATGTGCATTTTCACAGCATTAAGCAATGCCTTTTTTGTGCTGAGAATCAACATTATTTACTTTGGGACTCTTTCCCAGATCTCTGTTAACTCATTCACACATAGTTTCTCCTCCCAGCCTTGTGACTCAGTGAATTTTTCTCCAGCTGGGGCAGGCAACAGGGAAACTGTCACATACAGCCCCAGACTAGTGCACTGAACTCACAAGGATTGTCAAAGGCCCCTGACTCCAGTGACACCCCAAGATCAGGAATTCCCTCTTCAGGTTCTGCTGGGAATCATCCAAGAATGAGTAGTTCCCCACCTGTTTTGATTTTCCATTGCTATGTAACAAAACTTGTCAAAACTTCACAGCTTAACACAACCACCACAGTATTAGTTTTTAGCGCTCGCTGGATTGACTGAGCCCAGTTGAGTAGTCCTGCTCCGTGGGGTGTCACCAGTCGGTCTGAAGCATCCAAGCTGGCTCACTCCCACAGCTGGCAGCTGATGCTGACTGTCAGGTGGGAGCCTAGCGGGGGCTGTTGGCTGAAATGTGGACTCCTGGCCTCTTCCTGAGGCTTGGGCTTCCCCACACTATGGCAGCTGGGCCAGGAGAGGGAATAACCTCAGGGCAAGTGTTCCAAGAAGGAGGACGTGGTTCAGAGCACTGATCTGGGATTAGACGCTAGCTCTAAGGTCTTGGATAAATTTCTTAATCTTTTGGAGTCTCAGCTTCTTCACCTACCAAATGAAGACAGTGCCTACCTTATCAGACAGACAAGAAGATGAAGGGAGATAATTTGTGTAAAGCCTTTCCTACAGTGCTTTGGAAACAGGAGGGGGTTATGATCGGGTACACACCTGCACTGATCCTGAGTGTGTGTGCTTAATCTCTCCATTCTTTCTCCCAGGCTCATTGAGATCCTGAGTTGCCACCCCTGACTTGAAGAAAAGGGGAAGGTTGCCCTCTTTGATGGGATCCTTTAGTACTAAATGCAGACATCAGAAACTATGACATGACTCTTCAGAATTTATCTGAAAGAGGAAAAAATCTTACAAGTGTTGAAAGATATTTATAGAAAGATGTTTTTTGCAAGAGTGTAACACGTTATCCATACCATGTTATCAACTACATGTCTATCAATAGGGGATAGGATCTGATACATCCACATTCTACTGGATATTAATTGCTTTTAGGGTATCTGACACCTGATCATCCTTCCTCCAGAGGGGAAGTTCTAAGACAGGAAAGAAGCAACCCTTTTCTCCACTACTGGAGTGTAAAAAATTGTTTACACTGAAGTTTTTTACGCTTCTGTAGTACAGAATTTTCTGATCCACCCACTCCCTGTGCCCTGGAAGGTGAAGTATAGGCACGTGAGCTGAGTGCAACCAGTGAGATGCTCCTGCCTCAGGCTTTGCCCACAAAGGCACAAAGGCAGTGATGGTCAAGGTGCCGTCAGCAGTGGAGCCCAGATGGATGCCGTAAGCATCTGGTGGAGCAAAGCCACCTCAGTGACCTGGAGCCTAGACTACTCACCTTGGAACTGTTTTGCGCAAGAGAAATACACTTCTATATTCATTAAATCACTCTAAATGGGGCTTTCTTTGTTACAGCAGCTTAGCTTAGCCTAATCATGGTGATTTTAGAACATGGTCACAAATTCTTTGACATGCCTCCCACTGAGAAGTACAGTCTTTGTCCACTTCCCTTGAATGGGGGCAGGCTAATGTCTACTTTGATCAATGGACCTGGTGGAAGTACTTTCTGAGGCAAGGTCATGGGAGGCACACAGCTTCCTGCCTGCTCAGCAGAACACTAGACCTTGGAGCACTGAGCTATCTTGTAAGAAGTCAGACTACCCAGAGCTCAGCCCAAGGTCTGAGTCACCGCAGCCCAACCTCCAAACATGGGAAGCCTCTAGCTAACTTCATTGCCCTAACCCCACCCCAGACTTCTACCTCACTCTTACTTTGAGTTTTCCCAACTGAGGTCCCAGATGTTGTGGCATCATCCCTGCTGTGACATTAGAATTCCTGACCCACAGAATTTATGAGCTATCAAAATGGCAGTGGTTTTATTTTGTGGTTTGTTGTACTGTGGTAGCTAATGGAACACTACACTAACATATCATAAATTCTCTGAGATATCCAATACCTCCCCCCAAAATTCTTCTTTGCTAAGTTAACCAAAGTTGGTTTCTGTTTTTGCAATCAAGAATTGTGACAATGAAACACTACATAGCCCTAAAACGGATGTGGCTGGCCCTGACTGGTGTGGCTCAGTGGGTTGGGCATCATCCTGCAGAGCAAAAGGTCTCGGGTTCGATCTCCCATCAGGGCACATGCCTGGGTTTTGGGCCTGGTCCCCTGTCGGGAGGCTGGGAGCAGGTGGGAGGCAACCAATTGATGTTTCCCTTGCACAGTGATGTTTCTTTCCCTCTATTTCTTTCTCCCTTCCCCTCTCTCTAAAAATAAATAAAATCTCTACCAAAAAAACCTGAGGTATTTCTATATAAACTGTCACAAAAAGATGTTCACAATGCAGTTGTAAAATGAAAATGGCATTCTAAAACATTAAGTACAGAATTGTTCCATTTGGGTAAAATAAAATTATTACTTTCGCATAGAATAAATTTTAAGGTGCTGTGTACCAAAATTATACAGTATTGTCTTCAGGTATTAAAATTATAGGGTTTTTTTTTCTTGTGCTTACCTGTATTTTCTAAGTTTTATGAAATAATGAACATCATTAAGCAATGACTTGAACAGTTTTAATTTTTTTAAAGATTTTAATTTATTTTTTAGAGGGGAAGGAAGGAAGAAAGAGAGAAACATCAATGTGTGGTTTCCTCTCATGCGCCCCCTACTGGGGACCTGGCCTGCAACTCAGGCATGGGCCCTAGCTGGGAATTGAACCAGCAAACCTTTGCTTTGCAGTCTGACGCTCAATCCACTGAGCCACACCAGCCAGGGCAGTTTTAAATTAAAAAAAAAAAAAAAGTAAAGCCAGGATTATAGACCCAGGAGTTTGAGAGTACCTGGCATAACTCTTCACCTCTGGGAATTTTGTACATTCCCCAGTGAGAGACCCCAAAACACAGCCTTTATAGTATATGGTAGCTGCTGATAATTCCTCCCCTTCCTATAAGCATATGCTGTTCCTCACTTCTAGAAGTAGAGTTTACTTCCCCTTTCTTAAATCTGGGCCATTGCTGTGACTGCTTTGGCCAATAGAATGCAGCATAAGATGCTTCAGTACTTCCCACCTCCAGCCTTAGGAAGACCGGAAGCTTCTGTTTCCTCCCTCTTACATTCTTGTTCTTGGGGTGTTCCCTTGCAGAACTCAGCCCCAACCATGTGCAGAGGTCACCTGGAGGGGAGCCAAGACTCTCCTTGGCAGCCTCAGCTGAGCTCGTGGCCAGCGGCTGGCACCGACTGCCAGCCATGTGAGTGAGTCCTGTGGGATCCCAGCCCAGCGGAGACACAGATGACGGCTGCTCTCACCAGCGTCATGCGGGGCTGAAGAGCCACCACCCCCCTGAGCCCTGTCCACCTGCAGGCTCACGAGAGGCACTAAAATGGTAGTTGTTTTTCATCACTAGTTTCGGGGTAAAATGGTAGCCGGCCTCCAAGATGGCTCCTCCCGATAGTCACACCTGTTCAGAGTTCCTTTGCACAGGGGACCAGGGCTGGTCTGTGTGACTAATCAAATACAACAAAAGGGACACACGTAGGCGGCTCTCTCCCTGGAGCACCCCGCACCTTTCCCCACCCTCCCCCCAGGTGAGTTTCCTTGGCCCCCCCCCTTCTCCTGAGCAGCAGGGTTCTCCTTTGCCTCTGTAACTTGTTTCCTGAGCCCATTTCTTCTACGGCTCACTTCCACCTCTGTGACTTTCTAAATAAACTTCCTTATTGTTTGAAAAAAAAAAAGTGACACAGATGTGTCACTTCCGAGATTAGGTTACTCCTGACTCCAAAAACGTGTTGCTCCTGTCTTGGTTTCTCACAGATCACCCTTCATGTTGTGGGCAGCTCCCCCGGGGAGGAGTCCATACAGATGGCCAACCTGTCACCAGGTTGCTCAGGACTTCCCTGGTGTTGGATTGGAAGGCTCACGTCCCAAAAACTCCCTCAGCCCTGGGCACACCAGGATGGTCAGCCTACACCACATGATGAGGAACGGAGGCCTCTGGACAGCGGTGAGCAAGAAGTTGAGGCCTTCCACCAACAACCACATGAAGAGCCACCTTGGAAGCCAGCCCCCCGGCCCCAGTCAAGCCTTGAGACTACTGAAGCCTCATTAAAGACCCTGAGCCAGAACCCCAGGTAAGCTGACCCCAGATTCCTGACCCCTAGAAACTGGGCGAGATAATACTAGCGTAGTTATTTTAAGCTGCTGGACTGGGGGTAATTTGTTAAACAGCAATAGGTAACTTATACAGGTGGCTTGTTACAGCCTAATGGATAACAGAAACGAGGAACCCTAACAGAGTGGGTTTTTCCGCCCTGTTTTAAACAGCTGCAGTGATCTTCCTGTTTGGGAATTTCTTTGCCTTTCCTGAAAATCAACCTGAGGGAATTTCGCTATCAGAGTTCCTGAAGAGCAGAGCTGGGCAGGGCCCCTGGCTGCTGTGGGGTGAGTTCATTCCAACTCTAATTGTTTTCCAAGCTTTAACAATAAATCTCTGGGGCTCACAAGGCCCTCCCACCTCTCCATTTCCAAATGCTCTGTGAAGCTGCCCTGATTTCCCTGATGGCCAGAAGGGCCTACCTGGGCCACTTAAACAGCCTTCTCTGCTAGAAGGCATCCCCAGCTCTGACATCATGGGTGTCTGGGTACAGTGAGCCATGCGCAAGGTGCAGGGCATGCAGATGGTTTGTGGGGGCCTGGGGGGTCTTGACCTAAAATCTTTTCCAACCAGGCACCTAAGTATGTGAGATTTCACCTTCCAAGTGTGATTAATTCACTTCAGAGGGAAATTTTATTTATTCACCGGCACCTTCTTCTGAATGAGTTCATTGAAGACATTCTTCCCTACCCAGTGTAGCATAAGAGCAGGGGGAACTTAATCCAGGAAAGCACAAGGCAGGCAGGACCTCCTAATGTTGAGTTAGACTGATTCTGTCTACCGTTAGGGCTGTGAGTCTGGACACGTCGAGGTCACCCAGCAAGCTCAAGGGCAGGCTGCAGTGTACATCCAGGCATCCAGAGACCCATGGCAAAGTGGATAAAGCCATAAGCTGGGTGGCTTAAAATTACAGAAATGTATTTTCTCATAGTTCTGGAGGCTAGAAGTCCAAAATTAAGGTGTCAGCAGTGTTGATTCCTGCTAGAGGCTGTGAGGGAGTCTGTCCCAACCCTCTCTCCTGGCTTCTGGTGGTTCGCTGGCAATCTTTGGCATTCCTCAGCTTGTCCATGCATCTCCCCAACTTCAGCCTTCATGTTCATACGGCATTCTCTCTGTGTGCATGTCTCTGAGTGCATGTCTTTTCATGCTAATGACTTCATCTTGATTTGATCATCTGCAAAGACTCCATGGCCAAATAAGTCACATTCATGGGCACTAGGAGTTAGGATTTCAACGTATTTGGAGCAGAACACCATTCGACCCATAACGCACTGCATTAGTAAAAGCAGTTAACAGCCATGAAATTCCAGGCATTTGCCATTATAGCCATTTTTACGTACATTTTTCTAATTCTCACACCATTTCACAATATTACAGCTGTAGAAACTGAGGATCAGAAAGATTACTGGTCTTCTTCTTACTCACAGAGCTAGAAAATATAGGCTCTGGAATCAAATAGCCTGGCTTCACCACTTAACTGGGAGGCCTTGGGCAGGTTTATTAATCTCTCTGTCTCCTCATTTGTAAAGTGAGGATAGTAATACCTCCATCCATGCTGAGTCGTTGCAAGAATTTTAAAAGATAATACATGGAGGCTGGCACCCAGTAATTATTGAACTTATGATAGCTATTGTTGTAAGTAGTGAAGTCAAAATTTAAATCTACACCTCCTCAGTTCTGATACCTTCATTCTTTCCTCTCCAATTTTATATAACTAGGTAGTCAGCTGCTCCTGCACCCATGATCTCACTGAATCTTCACAACACCCCTAGGAGAAAAATATTTCTATTATCTATAAAATATATTTTATAGATAAAGAGCTAAGACACAGAGAGGTAAAGTGACTTGACCAAGGTCATCCAGCAAATAAGCATTCTAATCTAGTTCTGCTGGTTCTAATATTTCTTCTACTATGGTACCTGTCATCCCAATGCAAAGACATGATGTAGTACAACATTTTCTTCTACCACAGTTTGCTGATATCCTCTGGTAGTCACCTGGGATTACGAGTTTAGTCTGTGACCACCCTGAGACTATAGCAGGATTAAAATAAGAAAAAGAGCCAAAGCAGCTAAATCCTCTGTGGGCCTTTCCCGGACCTTCCCCTCATCTTCTCCGCCACAGCTGTGTTTCCACCCACAATTCAGCCCAACAAATATCTAAGCAGAGTGGACAGTGTAAAACAGCCACCCACATGCCTCATCTGCCCCATAGATGAGTTTTGTTTAACCTGCACATGGTTTTTAAGTAGTTGTTAACATATTTTTAAAAGTAAGAAGCTTTGCATAAGAATCTAGATTTTTTTTTTTTTTTTTTTGGCTTGCTTCTTTTCCAAAACCAAAGGCTCTGGCCAAGTGCCTCTGATCCCTGAGTGGAAACTGCCAGCCAAAGTTGAGTAGCGGCTGCCTCCAAGTTGATTATTTTTATACCCAGACTACGTGACTCATTTATCTTCCCTGCCTGACCCCATTAGGAATTTGAGCTTTTAACGAAGGCCAACTGAAACCTCCCCTTTGCCTATCAAATCAAATACCTCTAGCCTTACTCTGGCATTCAAATATCCTCACAGCATGGCTTTTCAGACTTACCACCCATGAAGATACTTCATTTCTCATTTATTTACATCTTCATCCCCAAACAGGTCCCTTCTTTTCCCACACTCATGCATTTGCTAGTGACTTTTTATTTCCTCTATGATGCCTTTCACCCCAACTTGGCCTGGGAACTCTTCCACTCTCATTAATGTCCAGATGAAGGCCTTCTCAGAATCTCCCAAACAGATGGAACCTTCTTTTCATTTGACGGGCCAAAGCACCTTGTTATTTTGAGCTCCTCGTTCTGGACTTTCACAACTGCACACATTTGCATACTATAATTTCTCTTCCTGTAACTCACTTCCTTCCTAGTCAATTGTTCCAAATGAGCCCAGCCTGCCAGCCGTCTCCTCAAGGCCCTAAACCCACGAATGAGAAGCCCCTCTGGACCCTCTAGACCCGCCCAGTCATGAGATCCATACCAACAAGGAGCTTCAGTTAATGCCACGTAGAGCAGAATAATTGCCTGGCTGAGACTTGTACCAATCCCCAACTTTTGTGATAATTGTGAGATATAATAAAAGGGTTGTTGTCTTAAGCCAGTAATTTTAAGGACAGTTTGTTACAAAGCAATAGATAACTAAAACAGTTAGGAAAGTAAAAATGTGTTTAATGTCGTTAATTATTTTCTTCAAGTTTTTTAAATAAAATTAAGTATATACACATATTTATACAAACACACACAATTTAGAGAAGTGACCTAATGTTTATTGAGGTCCTAATTTCTGCCTGGTACTTTCATATGAATAGTTTTTTTGAAGATTTTATTTATTTATTTTTAGAGAGAGGGCAAGGGAGGGAGAAAGAGAGGGAAAGAAACATCACTGTGTGGTTGCCTCTCACGCGCCCCCTACTGGGGACCCAGCCCGCAACCTAGGCATGTGCCCTGACTGGGAATCCAACTGGTGGCCCTTTGGTTCACAGTCCCGCACTCAGTCCACTGAGCTACACCAGCCAGGGCTCCATGATCTTATCTAATATTCAAGACAATCCAGTTTGTGTTATTAATTTTCAAAGCCCAGAGAAGTTAAGTAACTTGCAGTTGATTGTACACCTCTTGAGTGGGGGAAATGGGAACTGAGAACCAAGTCTGGCCTATCCAGCTAGAAAACCCATATTTTTGTCACCATCCCACATCCCCACACCACCTCTCTTGGCTCAGACAGTGGTCTACATTCCACGTAATGTGACATCGTATGTGGTTTTTCATGTTGCCGCAAAGACTTCAAAGCTTCCTTTTAAATGGCACCATATTATTCCCACTATAGTTTACATACCAGCCCCTATTGTTGAGTATTTACATTCCTTCCAAATCTTTTTGCCACTGAGAGGGATTCGGAGAGCTGCATCATGCTGGTGAGAGTAGAAATGAGGGAGTGGTGGGCCATTCTTTGGGTTTCTTGGGCATTACCAGGACTCCCATCTACAGCGCCCCTCCTTCAGCTCCCCGCACACACACCTGGCCTCTCTGCCCTGACTGTCTTAATGCACCTGGTTACACAGTCCCCTGAGGAGAAGGTCAGGTAGCTGGTGGAGCAAAAAGGGGGGAGGCAAAAATTCCCTTTGAACTCATCCTGTTCAGGCCAGATGAATTCATCACCTTTTAACAACTTGATGCAAACCTCATCCCTCTTAAATAGTTTTGACAGCTGGAAAGATTAAGATTACATCAGGACTCTTGTTGGTTTTGAAAAGTTTTAAGTCCTCTTATGTCAAAAGGGCCAAGAAACAGGTTTTTTAATCCTGTTAAGAATTCTACCCTTTATCCTGAGAGCAATGGGTGGCCATTGAGGAGTGATGGCCTGAGCTGGTTTTTTGATCTACCCATAGAAAGAAGACCCTGGTTTGGGAGGCAGAGGGCTTAGTGATTAATGCAATGGAGGGTGGGGGACAGGGAAGACTCCAGCATGACTCCAGGATTGCCCCAGGACATCCCGATGGGTAGGATAAAAGCAAGGAGGCAAGGCAATGACAGGGCAGTAGTTCCCTTTTGGACCAGGTGAGCCAGGGGTGTCTGAGGGCAAGACCTGAGGCAGGTGGACTTCCAGATGCTGTTCCCCAGGATTCCTACTGGCTCGCTAGGGCCTCAGTCCTTGGAGAAAGGGCCACATAGGCCAGACCAGGCAATAGAATTGGAGTGGAGGGTTCTAGAAAGCCACAGCTGGCCCAGCAAGAGAACTGGGGACACTGGGGAAGACCATGAGAATAACCTTGCCCAGTAGACATCTTCCTATCAGTGGCCAAGAGAGAAATTTCCTCTGATATCATCTGGGAACAATGCTAGCAAACTTAGTCCTTAACTTGCTCTATCTCTGTCACCAAAAGTAACTTCCCAGAGCCTCTCTGAAGGTGCATTTAAAAAAAATTTGTTTTCCTTTTATTGATTCTAGAGAGAGGGGAAGGAAGGGAGAAAGAGAGGGAGAGAAACATTGACATGAGAAAGATCAATTGGCTGCCTCCTGCACACGCCCAGACCAGGGCCTGGGCCCTGACCAGCAACTGAACCAGTGACCTTTTGGTTTTCAGGATGACGCCCAATCAACTGAGTCATACCAACCAGAGTTGGGGGTGCATTTTTTTGTTCTTTTGTTATCTTTCCTTGCCTCTTACTTTCCTACCTGTATTTTTCCTTTTGCCTCCTATATCAACCTTTAGTTGAGATGATGTACATAAAAATAAATGTATAAAACACTAAGCATTCGTATTATCTTTCAAAACACATCTAGTGTCCACCAAATCTTCAGAGGGGCCTCAAGTGTCATGGGTGGAGCCAGATGAGGCAAAGTAGGCAGGTCAGGGAGAAGAGCCTAAATGGACAGGGGACTCCGGGACAGGGTTTGGAGTGAGCTGAACTGAAAGTACCTCATAATGAGGATATTAAAGTCTACCTGCATACATGGAGTTGCTTCCATAGAGGCTAGTCAGGCAAGACAAGATGCCAGGTCATTTTTTTTTTAAAGATTTTATTTATTTTTAGAGAGAGGGGAGGGAGAAATATAGGGAGAGAAACATCAATGTGTTGTTGCTTCTTGCATGACCCCTGAAGGGGACCAGGCCCACCACCCAGGCACATGCCCTGACTGGGAATAAACGAGAGACCCTTTGGTTCACAGGCCTGCACTCAGTCCACTGAGCCACACCAGCCAGGGCAACCAGGTCATTTTTATCCAAATGTCAAATTCAGGGGTTGAGAGATTCTTCAGCCTCACATTTTCCACAAGAAGAAATTAGGTTCCTGTTTGTGTCGGACATCCTGGGTAATGTAAGGGGCTCAGGGACCTGGAAACTGAGTTGGGGCATGGTGACAAAAATCTGGGAGCAACTGTAGATTTACTGCAGTTTGGAGGGTTGGGTGTGGAGGAGGAGTAGGTTGGGAGCTGAGCTTCTTTGCCATGGACTTGAGGGTAGAGGGAAGGGAGAGGCACAGCATCACTAAGAACCTTTAATCAACTGTGCCATTTTACTGAGAACTTACAAGTTGAGTTATTCTGCATTGAGCTGCAATTAGTAGCAGGTTCAATGCACAATTTATAATTGTACCTTACTGATTTGCATACATTTGCAGTTGTTTACAAGTACATGACATACTTTTTGTTTCTCTATGGCCCACAGAGGCCCCAAAGGAGATTTGCCAGCAACAAGGAAGGAAGCCCCAGGCAGCCAGCCCCACAAAACTTTCCCAAGTTTCTATCCTCTTAGCATTCCTCAGGCTGGGCTTTCCTTTGCAGGGAGAAGTCTGCCTCAGGCTAGGGAGGGGTTGGGGGTGGGGCAGACCCCAGAATCACCATCTAGGATTAATTCCAAGCAGGAGGTTGGGCTGAGTCATCAAAATGCTTTCTTCTGTGTAATCACTTGGCTGCAGGCTAATCGATGGTTATTTGAGGATACTCCTGATCCCTCCTTCAAACACCAGACTTCGAAGTAAGTCAGTAAATCCAGTCCCATTTGGGCTGAGGGGGCCAGTGACTCCCCAGCTCAAAAGACTGAATGGATAGCAGTTAGCACTGAGCTCCTCAGGAAGAGCTGTAGAGTCACCAGGTAAATGGATTACTTTGTAGTAGCTTTTTTGATCCAGCCCTTTGCAGCTCACTGACAGTTCAGCATGAATAAAAACTATATAACCAGCCCTGGCTGGAGTGGCTCACTGGATTGAGTGCTGGCCTGCAAACCAAACGGTCACTGGTTTGATTACCAGTCAGGGCATATGCCTGGTTTGAGGGCCAGGTCCCCCAGTGGGGATGTTTCTCTCCCCCCTTTCTCCCTCCCTCCCCTCTCTCTAAAAATAAATAAATAAAGTGTTACAAAATAGTATATAACCAGAAAATCTGAGAGAAAATATCAAAATACCAAGCGATTTCATTATTAGTAATTGCTAATACAAAGCATGAAACTTTTTTTCTTAATGGTCAATAAATATTTAGTGATTGTCTACCATGGGGCAGGCACTCAGCCAGCCGGCACTGAAGACCCAGCAATGAATGATGGGCAGGGTAGGACAGGACAGATGAAAGGAGTGGTCACTCAAACACCCATATAACTATAATTCATGGCACATGTCTTAGTACTAACATTAATACTACCAATAATACCTAACATTAACTTGGTTGACTGTTTGCCGAGAGCTGAGCTGCACAGTCTTCAGTTCATCCCCTCATTTAGTCCTTACAGCTCCACAGGACAGATGTGTTTATCATTCCCACTTTACAGATGAAAACATCTGAGGTCCAAAGAAGTTAAATGACTTGCTAGGAAAAGGCTGTGATTTTGAACCAAGTCCATGCTCCAGGAAGCATGCACTTGACCATGAAGGAAAGAGAAGGGTGAAAATAAGGACTTGCCTTCAGCATGGGGAAGATCTCTCTGTGCTCCCTATGCCCTGACCCTTTCCTTGCTTTTTTTAGCCCAATTAGTATGACAATACCACTGACCTACTGACCTGGTAACTAGGACTGGAATGGCTCTGAGTCAGAGCAGAAGATGCCAGACAATTTCAAATCTACCTGCTGGGTCATTAAGAAGGATTAGGAATGGAGTGAGGGTCAGGGACAAGATCATCCTGCCTTGCCAACCTAATTAACCCCCTGCAGTCTGTGCTAATTTGATCGAGTCAGAAGGTTTTGCTTTGTGCAAGAGTCATCTGACTGATTCCCAAAGAGGCAACCAGGGATAGGATTACGTTAATAAATTTACTACAGAGCTGAACCAGTTTCACAGCCAAGTTAGTATGCTGAGGTTCATGTGCCTGGACAAGCCTGACTCCCAGCAATCCAACTCATAGGAGGCCAAAGTATATACCCAGTATATACCAGATACCCATTAATTCATTAATTCAGAACACCAGCGGTTCGGCCTTCAGTAACTGGAATGCTCTTCTGTCAACTGGGGCCCCCTCTTCCAAATATCAGCAATCCTGGGGAGCCAAATGAGTCATCAGTTGGCTGGTGGGTGAGTGTTTCGCCTGTGTTCGGGGAGGCAGATTTCACCCAAGGCAGGGTGGGGCTTCCTGAGTCATCTCTGCCTCATAGCAGGGCACATCTGTGTGAGCTCTTCATGTTTCTCCCTCCTGGACACTGGTGGGTACTAAGTGCCAACTTCTGGCCTCTTGGCTTTGCCCAACTTTTTTTCTCCTTCCTCTTTCTAGTCTCCATCCTTATCCCTCATTCTTATTTCGTGTGTTCTCCATACAATACAATTGATTAGGCTGATCATCCCGTTGCCATCATATTTTAGCCCTGGATCCCTGAGATGAAGTCAAGGAAGTCACCTTGGGTAGGTTGGTTTTTCCCAAGCTCTTCTTTTATTTATGGTATTTTTGTTTGTTTATTCTCAGATACATTAGGTCAAACCATATGAAATTTCAATTTTGGTAGGTCAAAAACAGTCAAATAGCAGCAACTTCATGTGGTTCAACTAACAGCAGACTAGATCCACTAGGGGGGTGGGCTTAATAAGTCCAGTGCTCTTTTGCAAGCCTTGGTGGTAGGTGTATACAGGAAGGATCATATATGGCAGCCTTTCTACCTCTTTCTAGAAATGAGCCCTTCTGAGTAGACTTATTCCTGTTGCTGTCTATTCATCCTTCAGCAAGGGCCTAAAGTCAGGGGTGGGCAAAGAAGGTACTTGAGGTTGAGGGAGAAGGTTGAATTATTTGTTATGTATGACAGAGTATGTGTTCTGAAGCCAGTTAGGAACAATTTTAAGGAACACTTTTAGATAGTCCATTGTTTGTGCATTACTATTAACGTGGAAAATTAAGGACCAATGGAGACATTTCACATTTACAAACATCACTCAAACACCTGTGTGACGTAGTCTGTATGCCCAACACCATCCCCACCTGCAAGGGTTTTCAATGTGCTACAAGTGTATGTATGCCTGTGTGACTGCTTCTAGCTACCATCTTACCATATGGTAAATTCTGTGAGGGTAGGGCCTATGTCTGATTTACTAATTCTTAACTCCTGTCATAGGGCCTGGCATATGGCAGGTGCTCATTAAATAAATGTTTTATATTAAAGAATGAGTGAATGAATGAATGAAAAGGTTGAACACATCATGGAAAAACCAGGAAGGCATTAATATGATGTCAGATGAAAGGTCTCTGGGCCTTCAAAGGTCAGGAACCAGCCCGCTTGTAGAAGTCAGCAGAGGACCCCCCAGGAGGTGACCTGTAACTAGTTGCTCTCCAATTGGAAAAGGTTGGTGGAACAGCTCAGGCAGTAGCAGAGTCTGCCTCACAGCTGTGAGGGAGGAAGCCACAAGTGAAAAGAAGCCACAAATGCAAAGTTGCTCCTCATTTCCTGGCAAGCTCTTTGGTCAGCCTGAGCTGCATTCCTTTGAGCTGAGCATGTGTGGAATTTCCAGCCTAGGTAGCAGAATGGAACTTGGAACAAATAGCTCAGCAAAACAGAACCCAGGGACAATGGGGCTGGGCCCTCTAGATGCCTTTTGCCAGCTACAGCACCCAGATAGATATTTCCATATTCAGACAGCATCAGAATCCTTAGAAGACGTGCTGAAATACTTGGGAATGGTCCGAGTCCTCGCCACTATACAACTTTCCATCTAGCAAGAACAAGTAAAGGTCTGTTTTGCTTTAAAGATGCTGAAGGTCCAAACATTAGAAGGCAGAGGGGAAGATACCTTCATCAAAAGAGAGCTGGAGGATACTTCAATGGCAGAATGATGAGAAGTGGATGGTGACAGCAAGATTTGGGGCTCTGTAACTGTTCTGGAAGAGTGTAGCTGGGGAGATTTAAGAACAACTGGTGAGAATATATGCTGTCAGTTTCAGGGCAGGGGATTCAAAAAGGAAGGACTCAGTTTCATGGAGGACAAACTTAACTACAGACAATCACAACCACCACAGACACTGGTCTCTTTACTGGACTGACCTGAATTTCTTACACCTGATCAAGCTCTGGGACAGTGCCATCAATCCCCCTGAAAAACGTAATGGGGAATTCTGCTGTAACTACCTTCAACTACTCTTCCTTCTCTGCATTTTCCCAAGTCAATAATTCCTTCAAGACACTGATATATTGATGGGAACCTAAGAAAGGGAGGACTGAATTTTAGTTATTCATATCTAGATCTTCTCTTTTAAAATTAAGAGGGAGTTGAAGGCAGGAATGATA